AATCATTTAATGCTAAAGAAATCTTCCAAGCCAGATTACCTCAAGTCCCCTCAGAGAGAGGAATGGGAAATACATGGCTCAGAAATTAGGATCCACTGAAGGTATCTGAGCAAGTGGGTGACGTAAGGGAAGAAATAGGTAAGAGTAGAGAAATGGGCTAAGAGTTTGGAATCAGGGAATTCAGCTACTATTAGCAGTAAAAAAAAGCATGATGTGATTATCAGTTTGATAAGTGCTGAGGCAATGAGAATGAAAAGGAAATGGTGAATTTGAAAGATATTTTAATAAATGACTCAGAGTTTGGACTTCACTATTCAGCTTTCTACTCTGTCATCTATTTTGCCTTGCCCTCCTACATAATTCATAATTGTTGCTTTTGCAGAGATTTTGTTTTAAAATAACAGCTGGAAGAACAAAGCAAAGAAAAAAATTCCAAGGGGAGAATCGTTTGTTCTCCTTATAAATTCAACCATTTTATTTTCATATAGGTCTCGATTCTCTCTTAAACATATATACTCAAAAAAAAAAGTTGTCTTCTACTTTGGTCTCATTTTCAAATCCCAGGTCAGTAATTTGACTCAATTTTATTAAATAAAAGTCCTATTTAATTTACCACCCAAAAGGTAATAATTGGGCTTACTACTGGGAGGAACTATACGTGTTTTAGTGCATAGAGTATAATCCTACGTCAGCCAGATTAAAGTTTATGTTATTCTAAATGTATACAAGTTCCAGAACTAAGTAATGGGACTGCCTATTTAATAGGGGCCATATTTGTCTTCTGTTTGGATTTTTTCCTTATTTAATTTATTTTTTTCCTTTATTTGATTTATTTTGTGGGTCTCTGACTCTGATGTTAAAGGTGTGAGCTATATATATTAGTTAAAGGTGTAAGAAAGCTCAGGTATACCACATCCACTTGCTTGTTTTCTGGGGCTAAATTCTTTTGTTGTTTTTTGTTTTTGTTTTTGCTTTTGGTCTTGGTTTTGGTTTTTGGTTTTTTTAATAAAGCAGAGAATTCCTCAGTTTAATAGATCTTTGTCTTCTTTTTCATAAACAGAACCCAGGATGACTTCTCCTACTAAAGAAGGAAGTGATCCAGCTGACAGTGCTCTCAAAATTTTAGAAAATGGGGCTCCGAACGACTGTAGTACAGATGTAGAGCCTTCATTTGCTGATTCTAGTATGATCTCTCAGGTGGAAAGCCACCCAACGAACAGGGAGCTGGACACACCAAGCTGCCAGGGGCATGCTATTCCTCAAGCAGCAGAAAACAATAAGCCTTCAGTTGAGAAGCTCCAGAAAGATTCTCAAAAAGAAGGTGTAAAAAGAGGGTCCCTTTTCATTCAGATTCCCACTCCTAGAAAATGGATCTTTCTCATGTCAGGATTAGGGAGAATTACCTACCTGGGTATCCCACCAGTAAAAATTGATAAACGCTATCCCTTAACTAAGAGAGCAAGACTCAACTCAGGAGAAGTGGAGGTGGAAACGAGCGATTTCTGTCACCACGCTGTGAATTACAAAGTTTCTCTCCAGTTCTCCATTTCATGGAGAATCCCATGCATCAACAGCCATAAGATAAGAATGGCCCTCTGCCTGCTGTGTAGGAGACATTTCTGGCGGGCTGCAGGTCGCCAGAATACCATGCGAGTGAAGCCAAAATACACAGCATTTCTTCCTCATCCAAATGTCCTCACTCACGGGGAGAGAACCACGATATTTGGAAGACCTTTGAATTCATATCACTGCTGTCCCCTCGCTGAGAGTCTGACATCAGGAAAATTTTCCGAATCAACTGATGCTGAAGGAAAGGATGGAGTCCACATCTTAGTGAGGCCTGTGTTCTGTGTCCCACAGGCCCGAATTCAAAACACGTTTCATCGGAAAGCACTTGGGGTCTCCCTACAATGCGAGGGCTGTGATTATAAGCACCAGTAGCAACTAGAAATATCGATGTCCCATTTGCCAAAGTCGTTTCAACAATTTGGTTGAATCTAGAGAGCTTTCCTAGGAATTAAGTTCAATTGGGGTAAATGGGCAAATTCATTTTAAAATTTAATTTCTAAAAAAAGTCTAAATAATTGGACTACTAAATTGAGACAAAATAGCTTGAACATAAGTTTTTTTGCATTAGATGGAGTTGCAGAAAGAAACACAAAACAGGACATAGCAAAAAGAAACACCGTTTCTTTTTCTGAGAAGAGGGGAACCATTCCTAAGGAAACCTCTGTTTATACGGTGCTATTACAAACAGACCATCAAAATGCCATGCCCTGGATTTGTACTGAGTCCGCAATTAAATTTTGCCATTTGAGTTATGATATTTCTTGGTGTGAGTCTATTTGAGTTCATTTTGTTTGGGACCCTTGTGCTTCCTATACCTGAATATCTATCTCTTTCTTTTGTCAGATTTGGGAATTTTTCGGCCATAATTTCCTCAAGTACATTTTCAATTCCCTTGCCTCTCTCCTTGCATATAATGTAAGTGTTGGTACACTTAATGTTATGCTAGAGATCTTTAAAATTGCTTCATTTTAAAAAATTGTTTCCTTTTTGCTGCTCTGATTGGGTGAGTTCCGTCATTCTGTCTTCCAGATCACTTACACATTCTTCTGTGTCACTTGTCTGCTGATTATTCCTTCTAGTGTGTTTTTCATTTTACCTATTGAATTCTTCTTTTCTGTTTGGTCTTTTTTAATATTTTCTAATTCCTTGTTTAAGCGGTCACTGTGTATGTCAATTCTTTTCCCTAATTCAGTTAACATTTTTATTACCAACTATTAAAGTTCTTCATCTGGTAAATTGTTTCTTTCTCTCTCGTTGTTTATTTTTTCCGAGTTTTTCTCTTGCTCTTTCAATTGAGAGTAGCCTTTTCATTTTGCCTGACTGTCTCTGCTTGTGTGAATTTAGGTGAAACAGTTACCTATTGCAGTCTTGAAGGGTGATCTGATGTGGGAGTGCCCCTGTGCAGACTGCATGTGCCCAGTGCTTTTGGTAGGAGAGCTGGATTTGACGTGGATGCAAGTCACATCTTTCCTCCGGGTGTGTAGCAGCTCTCACCTTGGTAGAGGGTGGAGCTGGAGATGGTGGGGCTAGAGCTGGTGCTGGGTGTGAGGCAGGACTTCTCCTCTGCTCAGTGGCCATCACCACCCTATTGCAGTGGGGTCTGATCCCAAGTTGCTGGAGCAGAAGCCATGAGGGTTGGGCCTGAGCTGGCTGTGTTTCTTTCAAGTGTTTGTTTCTGTCTCTCCTGGCACTAGGATCTTGTCCTTGTCCATGATGTGGGCTGTCAGCTCGTGTTGGTCACAGACAGAGGTCCAGTGCACCGCCTGTGCAGGCGCCGTGGCTCTGCTCAGACACAGCCTCACATGCAAGTCCCCTCTCTTCCTCACAGCCAGTCACTGCCCCCAGCCTCTGCCTATCCCCCATCCTTGGTGTATAATTGCTCCACAGGGCAGCGGGGCCCTCGTGGCTCTCAGCGTGTATCTGCAGACAGCTGTTGTGGAGCGGCTGTTGCCAGAGATCTGGGTTGCTTCTGCGTTGTGCCATCCGTGGCCACCACCACCCGACTCAGGCTCTGCCCTGGGACTGGGTCATGTCTGCATCTCACGGTCATATCTTTTCCCCATCATGGCCGCCCCAGATCCAGTGCCGTGCAGTGATGTCGAGTAAACACGGCCAGAGAGGTTTTGCTTGGCTTGGGCTCAGGCACGTGACAGGAAATGTAGCAACTGCTAGAGCGGACCCCTCTCTGCCCTGCCCTGCGGGCAAGTCTGTATGCGTACACGTCTTACCAGCAGGGTCCAGGCTCCCCACTGCCCTTTATTAGTCCCATCAGTCCTCCAACCAGCCAAGGGGCTTGTCTCCCTGTGTAGGAGCCCAGGACTGGGGCGTCCAGTCCATGCCTCAAAATGCTCACCCTCCAGGGTGCATGTCCACCTGTGTCATCTCCCTTTTCCTCTGAGTCCCCTCCCAGGGGCACAAGTCCCAACCTGATCGCTTTTCTTCCCTTCCTACCCAATTATGTGTGTATCTTTCTTACAGCCTTGGTTGTACAGGAGTCTTTCTGCCCGTTTCCAGTTAGTTTTCAGTGAGAATTGTCCCTCATGTAGATGTATTTGTGATGTGTCCGTGAGGGAAGGTAAGTCCATGTCCTCTCACTCCACCATCCTGATCTGAGTCCCCGATGCTGCTCTTCTTGATCAGTGAAGAATGCTCCTACCTCAGGGCCTTTGCACTTGTGGTTTTGTCTGTTTGGTACACTTTGCCCTCAGTCTCCACGTGGTTCACTCCTTCGCTTCCTTCTTGGGTTTGCTGACATGCTCCTTATCAGAGAAGTCTTCTCCAAGAATGGCTCCATCATCTCTCACCTTATCAGGGTCTCTCTTTATTAAATATCTCCCCTTTCTCTCCTATACCTTCAGCTAAAATTTTAAATGCTTAAGTGTCTGTTCTTAAACCCATTCTTTCTCCCCACTTTCCCTTCTAGTTCCCTTTCTTTCTCCTCTACTTCAAAGCTTTTCAAAGCTTGAAACTTTGGGGGAAGTTTATACCAACTTCTTAAGAGAGGCTATGTTTCCCACTCTGTTACCTCCTACTCACTTCTTAACCCTCCACAACCTTACATTCAGGCCCAGCAACTCATTCAGACACTCAGGTCACTGACAAGCTTCTTGCTCCCAGATGTGAAGGACGTTTTCACAACCTGGCCTGGCTTGACCTTTTGCCAGGATTTGGCACCTTGGGCTGCTCTCTCCTTTAAATACTCACTTCAAGGGACTGAGTGACCTTGAAACTCTGCTGATTCTCCTACCACAGCTGCTGGTCTCTCTGTCTCCTTTGTGCTTCCTTTTCTTCTGTCTGTCCCTTAAATGCAGGCAACTCTTGTAATTCTATCCCAGGCATACCTTTCTTGCCGCTCTCCATGCTCTGGGTGATACTCCATCCTTAGCCTCCCACCTGCATGGTGACGACTCCAAGATCTACAGCTCCAGCCTGGTTCTTTCTCCAGAGCTTCAGATCCATATGGCCACTGTCACCTGGTCCTTGCACAGACTTGTCACACTCAACATATTCAAAGTTGAACTCATCTCCCCCACCCGCCCCAGCTTGGTCCACCATCCCCCAGGTATCTTTGCTCATAACTGCCCTCTCCCTTATCACCTACACCCCAACAGCACCACAGTCTGTTGATTTGAACTCCCAAATTATCCAGGATCCATCTCCTTTGCTCCATTCCCATGGCCACCATCTTGGTTTGGGCCACCATCATCTCTCATCAGCACTGTTCCTTTCCTTCCCATTGCTTTTAAGAACTTACTGATGTCATTAGTGGAGTTTGTGGAGCCCAGCACGATCTGACTCTTATCTCGTCATTTTCTTCTTGAGCCATGATCCTCAAAGTCTGTGATCCAGCCATGCTAGCTTCTTCCGTCTTCTCGCCCCTGCACCTCCAGCCAGCTGCCCTCTCCCCTGGATACCTCTGCTGACTCTCTCCTCGGGGTTGGCTAGATTGCCTTCCTCTGAGAAACCTTCCCCGACTCCCCACATCTCGATGATGAACCTGTATTATGCGCCGTACTGTGGTACAGGAGTCTCTGTTAGGAAGGCCTTAATTAGAAAGAGGGGACAAGAGAGGGAGGTGATTGTTATGTAGAACTGAAAACCTGATGGGCTTAGGTGATAAGGTGCCCAGTGGAAGGAATCCAGACTCTGCTCCTTAAAATAAAATGTTATCAGCATTTGTTCAAGTGATCTAAGGCCCACTGGTAGAGAATGGAAAAGAGGTCTCAGGTTTGCGGTCAACGCAAGAGTGAAAAATTAGCAGGATTAGTGAAGGGGCTGGGACCTCAGGTCAAGGGGCAGAAGGAGGCAGTATGCGAACTAACTTTATAAAGTTCCAGGCACCTGACTTGATTTGAAAATCTAGGGCAGGTAAATCCCTGAGATGTCCACAGGGAGCTGGATCTCCACAATGACAATAATTAGAATCAAACCACGGGTTCTGTACCCAGATTTGTCTTCATTCCCAGATATGAGTCAAATTCAGGTCTCGTGCATGGAATAGTTATTCCTGAGCGCCCAGCTCTCTCCCCCCACCAAGACCTGGCAAGCTTTTGATGCCTTCCTGACTGGAAAACCACATCTTAGTGCGAAATTGACCTCAACCCCAGAGAAGGGACTCTGAGCATCACTGGACTAGAGGGCTGGCTTGTCATCCATTCATCATCCACTGGTGATAATCCAGTTAAAGACAATCTTAGCTTCACTTATTTTAGAGAATAGGGATTAAAAATTATTACAGGATGGAAGAAAATTCTATTTAAATATGAGTAAGAAATCTGGAGTTTAAATTTATATTAACTCAACCGAGGAGTGTGTGTGTGTGTGTGTGTGTGTGTTTAGGGGAGAGGGCTTGAAAATACACACAAGTGAGACATCAGCTTCTGGAAGTCATTCTACCAACCATGATATTTTATCTTAGAATATTAAATTAACTTGATGAAAATACAAGCTTGGATAAAATATAAGAGAATAAGAATAGAGGGTATCATTTATAGATGTGTCAAAATTCATTACCTAGACAGACTTTTTCACTTGACTTAAAGAGTAGAAACCCATGCATCAGGAATATAATAAAAAAAATTTTTTTTCAATGTGCTGCGGTCAGCAGCCTGAAAGAATTTTGCAGAAACTCCGACTGTGAAGAAAGGCACTGCCATGTCATTTGCGACCCTGCCTCTGTGCTTTGTGCTTTGGCACTTTTCACCAGCCTGGTTCTAACTGCCTGTGCATTCTACATGGAAGGAATGATGCTTCCCTAGCCTCATTTTACAGGACAAGCCAGACATGTATCAGAGACGGCTCTGGAGGGGAGAGAATGGGTGTAGCAAGCATTTACTCTTCTTGGGTTGCTGAGCCCCGATTTCCCATATGTG